AGAGAGAGAGAGAGAGAGAGAGAGAGAGAGAGAGAGAGAGAGAGAGAGAGAACAGATTCGATACCCATTCTTCATTGAGTTACCGGACACACACACCTTAGACTCTTGTGTAGTTGATAGGCTAGCGGAAACTTGGAACACATTTTTTTGTGCACCAAATTGGTGCTGCGAAGAGGACTTTCATACACCTTCCTTCCTGTGCGGGAAGAACGATGCCTAGATGACTCTACAGTGACGAAATTACTTTGGAGCAAAGATTTTGCTTGCTCCCAGCAGACACTACCGCAAGCGGTGCCTCGAGCATAAACCATCCTTGCTGTCTCTTCACTGGCGCAGTCAGCGGATGACGGATCGCAAGGATGAAGTGATGTAGATCTAGAGCACTGACTGGTTTAGAACTCTTAGAAACGGGGAGGAAGGGGGGGGGTGAAAGCCAGGATAAGGGGGAGCGCTTGCACCAATTGAACTAATGGCGCCCCGTCACGGGCCACCATGTACCCTCGATAACTTAACAAGAGCAAATAGAATAACTGCCTAAAACAAAACGAGAAACGAGGGGAGGTAAACAGAAAATCAGTCATTTTTTCCAACAGAGACAGTTATTTTCCTTTAAATAAGAAGCTGACATGAATGCCGACCGCTATGACCAGGAGCAACAGGCAAGAATATGAGGATTGGTTAATAGAACACACAATTGACCAGAATTAAGGCTGAGGAAATGGTTTACTTCATCTTAGAAAAATAAAGCAATAACATTATCTTCAAAGATAAAAGGACATAATGCTCCCCTCAAGCTGCTAAGGAAGATTACTGTGCATGGTCTAAGATGACCACTTTTCTCCTTCAGCAATTGGTGGTTGTCTTTGATTGGTTTTATTGTATTTCTTAAGAATACACAGCAAATTATAAGCCATAGATTTTGTTTTTTATTTTACAAAATACAACTTATTAGAAAACAAAAACGATATTCATTAATAGAATGTAAATACTCATACGAATGGTCATGGGCTCTTGCCTCATTGTTCATCTTCATGAGATATATTTTTACCCAAGAATTACAAAGTTTTATCTGCTCCTAGTTCCTAGTTTTGAGAAATTTGATGTAAAACTTTTTGAGTCTCACTGATCAAGCTCTTTTTAATGCAATTCTTTGAATGTCTTGATAACGACTCCAAATAATCTTACAGTTTTGATAGAGCAGATAGAACATTAGGTTTCTGACATCACAATTTTAGAAGCTCAAACTGGCCAGAAATTTCAGACAGAACGTTGTGATTCTAAGGTAGCGATATATCTGCTAGTGTATTGTTTTTCCCTATTTCAGATCTTTTCTCCAAGGCGAAGATTGTGGCGTCCATACCAAGTCGATGGCATCTGAATGTGGGTTATACCCACAGTTTTGGCATGAGTGAGAACTACTTTATCTACTTTGAGCTGCCAGTGGCGACCAATGTGCCTAGAGTGCTCACAATGAAGTTATGGAGTGGAACTATTGAAGACTGTATGCTGAATTTTCCAGATGAACCAGTAAGTGTTTTTCTTGGGTCTGCATCAGATATGTATGGTACTTCCATCTCTCATGCTTCCTGTCTTCTGTCTCAAATTCTATATATATTTCTTGCCTTATCCCTTTATTTCTCCTTATGTCTCCACTCCATCTGTCTACCTTTCTTTCCTGTTTTTTATTTTTTAATTGCTTTGACCCCTCCCATTCTCTCCCTACCTCACCTTCTTGTTTCTCTTTTGGTCTCTCTCTCTCTCTCTCTCTCTCTCTCTCTGTCTCTGTCTCTGTCTGTCTGTCTGTCTGTCTGTCTGTCTGTCTGTCTGTCTGTCTGTCTGTCTCTCTGTCTGTCTGTCTCTCTGTCTGTCTGTCTGTCTCTCTGTCTGTCTGTCTGTTTCTGTCTCTCTCTCTCTTTCTCTCTCTCTCTCTCTCTCTCTCTCTCTCTCTCTCTCTCTTTCTCTCTCTCTCTGTCTCTCTCCCCCCCCTCTCTCTCTCTATCTCTCTCTCCCTCTCTCTCCATACCTTCTCCTTCTCATTGTTTCTCTTTCCCTTTCTCTTTCCTCAGTTAACTTTAGAAGGTAACTTATTCTCCCTTCTTTGTTTCCTTTCAATTTTTTGTTTCTTGTAGGAGTCGAGAAGATTATTGGTGTCCTATGAATAAAGACAGATCTTGGAAGTGTGAGAATACAAGACATAGTGACTACTTGGATGAATACCAGGATGCAAATATTTTCTTTAACCCTATCCATACATGAAGAACTCTGTGCCACCACTTCCAAAGAGGAAATTTACACGTTAATCTTTGCATAGCAGTCTGTCAAAATTATTTTTTGAGAAATACTGAAAGTTTCAAAGAGATCTTCGTACTAGAAGTATTCTAAAATGTGAAGAATACAACCGCCCGGGTACAAAATGACCCCAGGGCGTATGGATAGGGTTAATTCAAAGCAATCATGCTTTCAAGCTGTGGGCACATTTGGCTCTATAATCTTTTCTTGTGATATAAGGAATCCTATCTCATATTGTCGCTGTTGTATAGTTACCAACTTGAACATTGCATGAAAGTTTAGGTTTGGATTTGAAATATCTGGAATTTTGTTGCTAGCTCTTGAAAATTTCTTCTACAGTGTAGGCCAAGTAATTTGGTATCATGTCAAGTGTGTGTGTGTGTGCTTGTGTGTGTGTGTGTGTGTGAGTTGACACATTTGACGAACACTCCATGGTTTGAAATTCAAGTCCAACAGCAGTGTCCCAATTTTCCTCGTTTTTATTGGCAGGAAAGTTTTCCTCTCCGCTAGATAGGCCTGTCTGGGTGACAAACCGTCCCCTTCTTTCTGTACCTCACCTCCTAGTTTCTACTTTGTTCTCTCTCTCTTTGCTCGGCTTTTGAAAAGACCTGAACTGAGTCAAATATGTCCTTACTTGTCACTACTTATTAATCCTTATGGGTGCAAAATAACCTCTCAAGGCAGGGTAGATGTGCCATGGTTATCCAAAACAATTTTTCTCGGGCCATTGTCGTGCACTCAGGTAACCTGGTTGGGTTTTTAAAAAGTTGGCAAGCCTGCATTTGTTTATTAGCTTTTGGGTCATACTCTTACTGTCTTTCCTTCCATTCTTCAAGAAGGTAAACTTCAACAGAAACTTAAATGAAATAACAGTATTAGCACCTCAATATGACATTTTTGCCCATCACAGATCCGTATCCATGTAGTCCGACGGGACACAGGAGAACGACTGCCAATACAGTTCCTAGCACCGCACGGTTTTGTCTTTCATTTCATCAACTGTTATGAAGACTCAGGATTTCTTATATGTGACGTTTGTCTCTTCAACAGTGGCAGGTGAGATGGTTGTTGTTGCTGTTTCTGTGGCCCCTGGTCTTTTGATATTGTAAGACTCTGCCCATGAAAGGAAGTGATAGGACAGGGGACAATAAATGTTTGCAAAAAAAAAGACCTTAGACAGTATTCACAATTTTTTTTATTGAAGACAACAAAGGAGGCAACTAGGGGGGAAATCAAAGTTGTTCCTTTCAGGCCTTGACAATTTTTTAATAGACATATCATCTTGAAGTTCTTAAAGGACTAGGCATCTTCGCGTAATTTAACGAGTGTAAATAAATCAAATAAATCAGGCATGACAAATTCTATTAGCTAACTCTTGCTTGGCTTCTGTAGTGATCATCAATTAAAACGAACTGAAAACTTGCGATGCATTTGGCCAAATTTGAGTTACCAGACAATATTTCAAACTACAGGGATATAGTTACCCAAAATGCTGGCAAAATAGCTGGAAGTCTAGCGTCAGTTCACTTTTCGCATAGACTGTGTTGTTAACTGGTGTTGTGACCTTGTGTGTGAACCTTTTGTCTAGTTGATATCTCCATGGGAAACTTACTAGACCTATCACGCATATCAAAGGTCTCCACTCTTTACAAGACCAATATGGGGGTAGCCATGACATCACACGTGAGTGGTGCTGGTAGCCTACGGGACCCGTAATCATGAGACTGCATGTACGGGGTTTGAGCCTCAGCTCTTTCAGACTTTTCCGATCCAGCGGCCATTTGGGTTCTAGCCCTTCGGTCTGTCGATATGGCAAAGAATTGACAGGTTTTAATCAGCTGTGCTTTGTCGCTGTATAGAGTGTTTCCGATGTCTGGGGAGGCAGGTAGGTAGGTGCTACGCAGGTCACAAAGTGCTGGGCAGTTAAAGAGATGGTGTGGTACTGTTTCATCCTGGCAGTCACACAACGGGCAGTCAGGTGGGGTATCCTTGCGGATCCTATTAAGGTAGGAATTTAGTGGTATGTGTTGTGTTCGCAGGCGAAATATTGTGACTTGTTCTCTTCTACTCAGGGAATTTATTGCATCTTTAGAGTTGGGGGCTGTCATGTGTGCAAATACAGTTCTTTCAGTTTTGCCCATTGCCCATCCATTCAGCCACTGTTCCCTGGTGTTGCATTTGATGATGTTCTTGGCTGTCTGTTGTGATACTGGGTTTTGTGGTTGTGTTTGTGATGCTCCCTTCTTGGCAAGAGTGTCTGCTCTGTCGTTTCCTGGGATGTTGCTGTGGCCAGGTATCCACTGTAGTGTCAGGTCGACGACATAGGTCTGTAGGAAGGTGTTGATTGTTTGAGCCACAGATAGGCAGGCTGGGCTTTCGAAATTCATGTTTTCCAGAGCTTGGAGTACTGACTTTCCGTCTGTGAAGATAATAGTGTTCTTGATTTTGTTTGGATATATTATGAAAATGTTGGTCAGGTGGAGGATTGCTGCTTCAGACTGTGTCCTTGGGAAAGGCATCTTTATAAAAAATTCCCATTTGGCTGTGTCCTTTCGGAGATGTATGTTAAACTTGGAGATCCTACCTCTTAAATAACCTAATAGCGTTGATAGGGGTGTTAAACCTATACAATTTCACTATTTTTCACCATCACACATGAAAGACGAACTTATATTACTGTAATCAAGTCTTTACTTCCCTTGCTATTTCTATATTTTTGTGTGGCTAATACCCCTGGGTTTTGTGCAATGGAAAACTGGCATTTAGCAATAGTTTACTCTCCTTACCTCTCTCATGATAAACAAATTACCTGTAATCCTCTTTTGATTGTCATATTCCTACTGAAAGTGACCTCATCTACATAACTTTTATACAACATTTATATTTTTTCCAGTGAGGTCAAACAGATGTACATTGACAATGTCCTAGAGAAGTTGGAGAAAAAAATTCCAGGAGATTCACAATTTGCTCGATTTGTTCTGCCTCTGAGTTTAGATAAGGTAAGGAACTTTCTGTCTGTCTGTCTGTCTGTCTGTCTGTCTGTCTGTCTGTCTGTCTGTCTGTCTGGAAATGATATATATTTACAAATCCATCTATCCATCCTTCTGCCCACCTGCTCCTTTTCTTTTCTGTCAACATAGACAATGATATTATTCAACTTTCTAGTTCTTTGACCTCTGTTTGCTTGCTTCTCACTATATGAGGTACAAAGTATACATTGTGTCACGGTTAGGGGTAACACAGAGATTTACAGAGTGTATTTGCACACACACACACACACGCACACGCACACGCACACGCACACGCACACGCACACGCACAGTAGCTTCGTACCTTATTGTATAGTGCCTAAAAATAGTTGAAAGCCATAACCGAGAACCTGGAAAATGTTTAATGTAATGTCAAGTTATAATTGGTAATTGCTATGTTTTATGTAATGTCTAGTAATAATTTATAATTGTTTTCTCTTATGTAATGTCAAATAATAATTAATTGATAATTGTTGTTATTTTTGTTCCTCCATGCAACCAAGGCGAAGGCAGGGGAAAACTTGATAACTCTTCCTAATGTCAAGGCCACAGCTGTCCTAAGGCCAGGCACTAAGAACACTGTGGATGTGACCCATCATGTGATGTTTGATAGTAAGTCTGTTTGTGGTGGTGGTAGGGGCTGGGTGATGAGGAGGGGGGTATGAGGGTGAAGTTAGATGCCACGGTGAACTGGATACTGTGAAACCTTTTCATTTCCATTGTAGATAAATGTGTGAGGGTTAATATTTGTACTCAGTATTTTACCGAGGATGGTGTGGGTTGAGGTGGAGAAAAGGTCTGAGCTGTTGTAAATCTAGCTTGCAGAATGCATAGCATTCAATCTCGCTAGTTCAGGTGTGGAACTGTCCCTGGTCAATTTACAAGACTGAGTTTTCTTTTCCACAGCTTACTCTGTCTCAAATCTGTCTTTTAGTCTTCTTTAGAGAGTGCACTGTAGTGTTTGAACTTCAGTTTTACACAGATAAGTTTCAAATTCATCCTGCGTTTTTAAATAAGAAAACTTACACCTTGAGTTTCAAAAATGTTCCTTTTTTATTGAACATAGTTTAATGATTTTGTATGGGTTTCAGAGTCGTACGCTTTTGAGCTACCAAGAATCAACTATGATCGCAATGCCCTGAACTACAGGTTCGTCTATGCAAGCACAGTTTTAAGAAAGCACTGCCCACGGGTAAGGATTACTCATCTCTGGGTGTTTGGCGCATTTACTTCTCTAGGTTACACATGATTTGATATCTTTGGCTTTTTCCTTTTCTCATTTTTGAGGATAGAACTAGATACACTTTAGTTTTTCCGAAACCCAAACCTTTTATGTGCTGCTAATATCGCTTCAGATTTGCGCTCTGAAAGTATTTGAAATAGGGCTAGAATACCAACATTTGGGAGTCGTAATGCTTAGGAAGCGGTAAAAAAAAAGAAAGAAGGAAAAATGAAAAAGGTTAGGGGTAGATTCTTCTCAAATGCTCAAACATCAGTTTTCACAATTACATTGAAATTACGACTGGAGAAATCCTTCAAATTTGTATAAGTTATTGTTCTTAATGAAAACCTTAACATTAGTCTGTCCAGAAAGTTTCTTTGCTCTTTATTTTTGGTACCTTACTCTACAAATGACAAACCTGTGAAATTGTAAAAATATCTCTTGTCTGACTGGCCATAATGAGACACCTTTTTTTTCCCCACAAAAGTCTTTCCCTCAGCTAAAGTTTATTCTTAACTAACACAGAAACTGAAGTTTTGAAGGTTCAAAACTTGCTCTTCAGACCTGTAAGTTGATAATTTGAACAAATTCAGCTGCTGTACACACATGATTGTGCATGTTTTGATGACTCTTTTCTTTCAATGATATTACGGTGTTTGTTAGCTTAGAGTCAGTGCTAAGCTGCAAGCAAAAGTCTGCGCTCTAACTTACTTCAGCAAGATGTGGTCAAGAATCAATAAGATTGATGGTGTGTCTTACGGCCAAGCTCCTGTCCACTACCAAAGAACTTTCTGTTTTGAGGAAAAGCTAGTTGAAGTCTTTTATCATGCCTATATCATTTTATCAAAGGCATGCTTATAACTTTTGCTCCTTTTAAAAATGTTTTTAAGTTGTATTGTAGGAATTATGATAATGACGATGATTTTTTTTGTCTTCTTTAATCCAGCTGTTGAAGTTTGACGTTCAGACGTTGGAAGTGAAAGAGTGGAGATGTGAGCCAAACCACATGGCAGGTGAACCTGTCTTTGTGAAGAATCCTTCTGGTGTGGAGGAAGATGATGGTGAGCAAATTGCTACCAATTATAAACTTTTATCTGACATTTTTTGCCATTTTGAGTTACCATGATCATGAGGTCAGAAACCAAATGTTCTATCTGCTCTAGCAAAATTGAAAGGTTACTCAGAATCTTTATCAAGATATTCAAAGAATTGCATTCAGAAAAGCTTGATTTGTTGTGAAACTCAACATTCTAAACTTCAAATTTCCTCAAAATTAAGTACTGAGCAGATATAACTTTGTAATTCTGATGTAGCGAAATAAACGTACTGTGAATGAGCATTGTGTGTATGTTTGTCTGTCTTTGAGTTTCTATTTGAATTATAAAAGTATGTCATATGATTATCATGTACTAAGTTTCTTTGCTATATAAAAATGTAAGACAGGTCTATATTCTACTCTTTTTCCTCTCCTTTCTGAAGTAGACATGACATCTTCACTTTGTCCGGTAAAAAATATATTATGAAGGGAAGTGTAAGTTTAATGAAAAACCAAATGGTGGCAAAAAGTGGCATGGCCAGTGTTGATTTGATTGAGAAATAGAAGCTCTTAATTTCTAGTCTATGTGAGATTCTCCTTTTTAAAAAATGATTTCTGAGTCATATATGTTGGGACTGTGGGCGCTGCTGAAATTTGTGGGGTGGGGGGGGCAAGGAAAGGAGAGCTTTCTTCCAGTTTTGAAATGATTTACCTTTCATGTAGTTGTCTAATTAGGCTAAAGATTGATCTTCTGCTCCTGTTTCTCCTCAGGTGTGATACTATGTCCTGTTCTGGCTGAGACCACGAATGAATCCTCCTATCTCATTGTGCTCGATGCTGGAAGCTTCAAGGAGCTAGGGAGAGCTACAGTCCCAGCTCATCTTAAAATGAGCCTCACATTTCATGGAGACTTTTACAACAGGTTTTCTTAGACTCCTCAAAATGAGCATTGTATGTTGTGTGTCACAGAGATTTTTGCAACAATATGTCAAGATACCTCAAAAAGAATGTTCCAAGGTCATTTTTGATGCAATATATTTCAACAACATACCATATAAGGCATCTTACAATATCAATATCATATCCGCGCATGAGTTTCAATGACTGACTGTTTTACTCTGAGAATGATTCTTCATTTCCAGGTGCTGTGTCCAACGGATTGCCTTTATTACCTCTTTATGATAATAATATGTTGACACTACACTTCATATACTTCACAGATAAGTCTGGAAGTTCTGACTGTCGGAGACATCTCTCCGGACAAATGTCACATTCCACGTGGATCACCTCAATAGGCTGTCTTAGCCATCTCAGAATGAAACAGATATGTCATTCCACCGAGACTTTTACTGCATGCTGCTGCAGAAATCATATGATAAACATTACATTTAATAAGCGTTCCTTAGATAGTGTTTTGAGGGAGAAGTTTAACCATTTACTGTCATATAGACATCTTATAAGATGAATATCACATTCCAAGGACACTTGCTTTACAATTATTTAAGATGGAGACGGGCAGTCTCTAAATAACATTATCTTATACTCAGTGCACACTGCCAATTGGTTTCTTTTGATTAGGTCGGGTTCAGCGGGATTTTTATTCATGGATGGGGAAAAAGTTACCTTTTTTCACAACAGGAATTTAACCCAATTTACCTGTGACCTTCAAAATAAAAAAAGTTTATTTTTCAAGGTTGCAAGTCGATTTGATCATATTGTGCCAAAATAGTAGCTTTTGCCCCTCGATGAAGGATAATCTGGCGGGCCCTTTGAATGTACAGATATCTGCATAAGACAATCACAGACCACAGACCCATATTTCATGAGGTTGTGATGGTCTTTTTCAAAATGAATCATGTGTTACATGGTGACTACCAAGGCAGAAAATACATATTTGTTACTTCTGTATCAAACAGTTGTAGATACCCATCAAAACGAACGTCTCCTATCAGATAACAGATAGGAGAGATATTTATTGCTGTTCAAAATCTCTGTTCTTACCTTAAAGAGTAAAAATTTAAGACTTGCTTTAATTAGATGTATTAATGATGTATTACTGTTTCCCATTACCATTAATCGTAAACAATACAAATCTAAGTATTGTAAAGGTTCCAATGATATGTATCATCATCATCATCATCATCATCATCATCATCATCATCAGCATCAGCATCATCATCATCATCATCATCATCATTATCATCATCATAATCATCATAATCATCATCATTTGTGAGGCAGCGTGGTGGAATCAGGCTCTCGTCAAAATAATGAAAATGAAGAAACTTGCATTTTTCGTCAGGTTTGCGAGTTTTTATCAAATTTATGTTTTTTGGTTCAACACCTTTCATGCCCATTAAAGAACGCATTTCTGTGGGATTTTTTCTGAAAAACGTTGATTAAAGGTACAATAAATGTAAATTCTCAGTTGCCACGAACTCTTAAGCTAAAGAAATAACTAATCTTTGGCGGCCATTTTCTCACTAATTTTACCTCTGAAAACATGTGACCCCCACCTCCTTCATTCGCAAATATCTCGACTTGTATTCAAGATAAATGAATATTTTTTTCATCCAAATAAAGACAAGTGAATAAGCTTTAACATGATACCAATAACTCTACATGCCCAAAAATTGACGAGAGCCTGATTCCACCACGCTGCCTCACATTTGATATTATTACTTATATTATTATGTTAATGCTATCATTATCATTATCATTTTTATTATCATTATCAGTTTTATTATTATCATCATCATTTTTAGATCTATTTTATTGAAAGACTTACCATTTCCCTTCTCTAGATGTGAAAGTTCTAGTTTCCACAAGTTTGCTTCCATGAATTATGTGATATGACACTACGCTACCTCAGGATTACAAAGTTCTATCTGACATTTTTGGCCTTTTTGAGTTACTTTGACTATAACTTCAGAAAGCAAATGCTCTATCTGGTCTATCAAAATCGCAAGAATATTCAGAGTCTTTATCGAGATATTAAAAAATTTGAAAAAGCTTGACGTAATGTGAAACTCAAAGATTTTGACGTCAAATTTCCCAAAACTAGGTATTGAGCAGATAGAACTTTGTAATTCTGAGGTAGCAAAGTCTTGCTGATGATAAAAGTTCCATGACAAATGAAACAGAAAGAAGAAAACCCTTGAAGAGCCTGTTTCTATTCTAGTCAGTTTTCAATGTGGAACTTTCATTAATTCAGACAAAACTGATTAGAATCCTTTAATAAATTATTGAATGCAGAAATTTTGTTAAGTATAAACTGTATTTAACTTTTCAGTGATTTCAATGATTCTTTCAATTGAAGTTATTTCTTGTTGCATTTTCAAATCTATGAGAATGTCAAAAAATTCTTAGCTTTAAAGGCATTTGAAAATGTTTGTTCTTGCTTTGTGTTCTGAGTATTACCTTGAGCTCCAAAGGGCTTTTGCCTTTGTTGTTGCTCTGCTTGCTGTTACTGATGTTGATATTATTGTGGTTGTTGTGTTATTATTGTTGTGAATGGTTAATGCCTCTATCAATACAATTTAAATTATTTATAAGGTGGCTGGTTTGATGTTGCTTGCATCATCCAACCCAGTGAAAAGATCTACTGTGATGTCACTTGTCATGCAATTTTTTGTTGGTTAATCTTTTTACAAAGGTGACATACTGACAAATGTTTGAATGAATGAAGTGATAAGATAACTGGCTTGCAGGTAGGGTGGTGAAGTCTGTATATGAGTTTGTGTGTGTGTGTGTGTGTGTGTGTGTGTGTGTGTGTGTGTGTGTGTGTTTGTGTGTATGTGTGTGTCTGTAAATGTTGATTTAAATCGAGCAAAAAAATGCCTATGATTATTAGGGTTCAACGAGTGTGTACCTTATGTATTTTTAGATGCCCTCAGAAAACAACTAGAGTGAAAGTGAAAGGAAAGTCACCCGATTAAATTGGTGATTGTGACTTTCACCTTTACATTGCACTCTTGTGGACTGATTCCTTTTCATGTACGGGTTATTTATCATGAAGTTATGATATAAATTATTGACCCTGGTTTTTTATCATGTTGTACAATTGTACACAATATAGCAAGGTATAATAAAGCATCGGTTTTAACAGTTTCAACATTTTCATTATCAGAGTGCATTTTTTTTCTTAATTACTGTTTTTTTAAAATAACAGTGTTCAAGTAGGCCAGTATTGTGATTTCATTTCAAAGCTTCCAAGCTCATAATATTTTTATTTTCCTCAGAGAAAAATAACAAAAGAAACTAAACCCGCATTTTCTCATTTCACTCTACTACAAATGGGCTCTTGGCTATCAGTTAAGTCAGATTTATGTAATTATATAGATTATGTCATAGCGTGCCTAACATTAAGGGGTCATATCATGATATACAATAAAAGTATGATAACTGATTGATATATAGATAGATATATATATATATATTTATATATATATATATAGATATATATATATATATATATATATATATATATATATATATATATATATATATATATATATATATATATATATATATATATATATATATATATATAACTTGATGTTTTCACACAATTTAGAAAAACTGAAAATCAGGAATCAAAGGAACAATTAGACCAAGACAAGGATTTTTTTACATCATTTACATCAGTGTCAAAAGTGTACTTCATGTGTACATTGTACTTCTACTTTGTGGGTCCGAAACCGGAAAACTTGCAAAAGAAACTTCTAAAAAGTTACCGGCTTAAGGGAAGACCCGGGTCAGCGATCCCAGACAATATCGATAAAATTGTTCATACTTTCCAACTTTTGTTTTTAGTGGAAAAACGTCCTTTGACATCTGTTCTATTCGGTCACAATGACGAAACTTGAAAAAACACCCTAAATGACCTATAAGGGCGTTTGAAAAGTGCAAATTGCACTAAAAATCCTTTAAAAAATCCTTGTTTTTTCTGTTTTTCTCAAAATATACTTTTTGACATTATGTGACCTCCTTGGTGCCAGAAGTTTTCAAAAGCTACTGAAGCTACAAGCTTCAAATTTGGCGTACATACGCTTTAAGATTTATTCTGGGGATCTATGTGAGGGAATTGGGAAATATTGGTATAACTTACGGAAATATTCAAATTTTTTTGTAATATATACCCCAAAATTTCATCAACTGACTCTCTGGGGTCCATTGACTTTGGGCTCACTTTTTTAGTTTTAAAGATAGGTCAAAATCCTCACATGGATCTCCAGTCCATATAGGTTTGTACTTGTGTGCCAAATATCAGGCTGATAATTTGATATTCACTATGAAATTCTTCTGCACTAAGAAACTGGTTTGAAAATCCTAGATGGCCGCCACAGAGGTCCATGTTTCAGAAAAAAAAATCAACAAATTCACCCTTAGTACATCATATTTACCTATAAAGTTCTTACACAATTACAAGAAAGTGAGTAAAAGTCATTCGTTTAGAAAATTTTTCCGGGAGTGTACGTCTCCCCTTAAGAAAAACCCTAAAAATGCATTGATCTGGCACTATAAGAAGTGAACAACTATGAGGGCAAAAAACCCCAACAGAAAATAGATTTTGTATAGAAAATAGATCTGGACTAGACACACCTTAGCCTTGACAAAACCGAAAGCAAACATTATATTTGAGAACACGTCACGACATGGATTTTACTTGTCCTTTCAAGACTGCAATGACAAAACACGGGACCTCCAAATGTGTTGTCCATCTCCAATAAGACTGAGCCAAGAAGACAGCAATCTTGAAAAGGCCATAGTCCTTAACAGTTCTATTAAGCAACGTGCGGCTGTTCGGTATTCGAACCAGGGTCATCCGCGCCATAACCCATGAGCATGAAGCCAATAATGGAGGTAACGGCTTTAAAATCTAAACTTGACCTCAAATTTCAATGCTGGCTTTAACCGACTCGAAATGCCGTTTTATTTACCTAAATTGTTGCAGACGTGGAAGGAAATAAGGAAACTCTGATGAGGGTCAATAATATATTATATATAATAATATTTTTTTTTTGGGTAAGTGTTTTACGGTGCTCGTTACTGCATAAGGTCATATGAGCGCTCACATATATACATAATATATTATATATACCAGTTCATTCCCAAAAGTTATCTCTTTTTCAAGAGTGTATAGTATATTTTATTCCTATCAACTTCTTGACCTCAATAAGAAAACTGATCTGTCGTAAATCCGTTGTGACGTCAGACTCACGCCTTGAAGTCACGCTTGGCAGCCAAAATGTGGGACATGGCTTCTCTCATCATGCACTGTCAATGTAATGCCAATTTGCGAACACACACACACACACACACACACACACACACACACACACACACACACACACACACACATACACACACACAGCAAAAAAACAATCTTCAGTTCTTCATTTACTTGAGCCAGGTGAAATCCCTCACAATTAAATCTTTTAGGTTTACACATACACACGCGCACACACACACACACACACACACACACACACCCAAGCATAATATACTCAAACACACACACACACACCCACACTCACCCACACACACACACACACACACACACACACACATACACAAACACACAAACACACTCACACGTGCACCCTCACATACAAACACGCACATACATGCGCACAGACACACACACACGCACACAGACACACACAGACACACACACACACATACACACACGCGCACGCTCACACATGCTCTCACATACGCACACAAATCAGATCGAGATAAGATTTAAGTACTGCTTGCATTGCTAGACAGGGGGGGGGGGGGGGAGGGGGGGGA